CCGCCGGTGCCGTTGTTGTTGTCGGCGTAGCCGTCGTCGTCACTGTTACAGCTGTCGTCGTCGTTGCCGTTGTTGTTGATATTATTGTACTCGTTGTTGGTGTCGCCGCAGTTATGGTATAAACACTCATTACCGGCGTGTGCCTCACCAAGGGGGCTAAAGACCTCCCCCTGCCACTATACAACTACCGCAAAATTCTTAATACAATTGCAGTACTCTATGTATAGAAAGCACACGCGCATACATACATATATACATATATCGAATTTCTTCGTATGTATAGATCAAATACAAGACAATGTACTACTGGATATTGTTATTTTCTGAGTGTAATTACCAGTGCAGTGATTCAACAACAGAATCCACTTGCTTCAGGGAAAGATGAATAGATATTATTCCCTCCAAGTAATTGACCTTTCTTTTTTATCGTTCTTTTCTTTTCCCTTCGCAGTGAATTTCCGTGAAACGAATAACAATTGTTTTAACAAATTATAATTCGTCGGTGCATTTTCGGTTTTCTTTCTCTATTCGTGTAACCGGTATCTGACTTTCATGTTTGATTTTCTTAAATTTTGCGTAACAATATCTTTGTTTCGCGGAAATATTTTTACCGACATTATGAAATATGGAACCGTTAAAACTACTAGCGCAATCTGTCTTGTGTGTAGTGCAGTACATGTGAAAAATTATACTACAAAAATGTCGACAAGGATGGCAGTTTAATAAAGAGTTATAAGTTTAATGATTTAGAAAGTGAGTACTGGAAAGAAGGAAAATGATTATTTGATTATAATTTTTGTATAACGTTTCAAGTTTCTATATTTCGTTCTTTACGGAAGTTCCTTTATTTAAAATTACACTGTTGATTACAGATTTTGTTATAATTTATATACCACATAGTTTAATAAACGGTATTGATGTTTTTCTTTCCATTTCTTATTTTAACAAAGAGTAACGTATACGTTGAAGATTTATTTGGGTTTGTATAAAGTGACAAAATGTGACTAGTAAATAATTTTATCCTTTACAGTATCATGTCATAAACAACTGACTATTAGGCAGAGGTTATTAAATTTGAACATTGCATTCTTTGTTCTCGATCATGTAGATCTTCACATTTTTTTCAATTTACATACAATATATCATAAACTGGTTTTGGAAGATAATCACTGCATAATGCTTGTATTCTTTCTTTACGTGATACTGGTGTGTATCTTCTCATTGGAAAAGTTTTCATTACTCCATCTGTCAAAGCTCTAGTTACTGGTGTTAAATCTACATCTGTTTCTTGTGTATATTTTTCAAGAGCCAACATTTCTTTTTGGAATAATTCTTGACCATATTCTTTACGGGTTTGAGGATCCAATTGAGTCCACATGTCTCTAGCTTGTTCCAGCAAGGCACTATTATTTTTTAACCAAGCATTTCCAGATACATATTCACTAGTTTCAACAATAACTACATCCACTCCCCATCTTCTCATTTCTAACCTAAGACAAGCTCCCCAAGCTTCAACTGCAGCCTAATACACACACACACATATATACACACATATATAATATATATTACATGTATATTTTGTTGATGTTATATTTAAATATAGATTATTGATACTTTTAAAATGATCTACCTTAACTGCACAATAAATGCCTCGAACAGGACTTGGAATACGAGCTAAGAGACTGCTAACTATGACAACACGTCCTTTTGATCGTCTAATCAAAGGTAAAAAAACCTTTAAATAAAAATTATTATTTTATTCATGGAGATTAGCTTATTAATTATTGCAATATATAATTGTTGATAATACATTAATATCACCTGAGTTAATCTAGCAAGACCAATGAAATTAATATCTATACTGCGTTTTAATACAGAAGGAGGCACCCATTCGCATTCACCTAATGTCACCCAAGCAGCAGCATGTATTAATGCCCATAAACCTATTGTAAGATATTTACGATTGTCAAATAT